CATGTAAGCTATGCCAAGCCAACCCTGGCTTTGTCTGTACTTACTTATGTTATGCTTGAGTAAACGTCTTTGCTATACACACGTGTCACGAGAGTTTCTCTGAGATGAATGGGGTGAACCTTACAACTGCAACTTAGGACAAAGAAAGAGTAAGAGAGAACTTAGTTAATTTAAATGAATCTCTATGGCCAAATGGAGCTACTGGAGGAACTGGCAGAGGAACTGCCTCAGTAACCTTTGAGAACTACTGGTCCCAAAAGACTAGAGAGCAAATACCATATTCAGAAAGTGAAAGAAGGACCTGGGCAACTAAGGTTTCACGTTGACATCTCTCCTGGGCAAGGTCCTTGAAAAGCAGCTTATTTGTGAGCATCTGCAAAGGCATGCTACAATTAACAGGAGACAGCATGTGTTTGTCACAAACAATCCATGCCTGCCTAATCTTATCCTTTTCTTTGATAGACTTGTTAAGTTGGTAGATTAAGGAATGCTGTAGACCTAGTATAATGTCAAGCCAATCAAGTGCTGGATTTAGCCTGCAATAAACTGAAGCATGCTATCCCAAAAAGACAGGAATGCTTGAGACAATATAACAGGAAAAAGAGCAAAAGAACGAGCCCTGAGACCACTTTGAAGGTGAGCAGGGGATTAAAAGGGGGTGGTATCCTCCATTTTTTATGCCCTCCAGAAAGAGTTGACTGCCTGTTCTGGTGATGGGGCAATCTGCCAGCGCAGATAAGTTCTTAGTGATAACATTTAAGTATAGAATGTCTTGCTACTGGGCTGCAACAAAGCTCTCTCGTGTAAGCTCTAGCTAAATAGGTGTTTAATGCCTTTCTCCAGGAAAATAACTACATCACTGAAGGGATACTTATGCTTATCTTTTTTCTTAGCTCAAAATGTCAGAGATTCCTCTCATCTTTTTAAATCTGAGTGGTGATTAAACAGCTCCCTTCCTCATGCTGATCATGTCAGTTTACAAAGTTCACTTGTGTAATGCAACACTAATCAAAAGAATGCTTGTTTTTTTTTTCTCTCAGTAAAAGCAGTTCCTCCCTTCCACATGGTCTTGCAACATACTTTATTGCAAATATAGGACTGTGCAGCTTGCATTTCAGAGTAATTCCTTCAGGGCTGCTTGGGCAAGCTTGTTGAAATCTCAGCAGTTTCTACGGGGGGCTTCTGGAATGAGGTAAGATAGTGACAATCTGTCAATTTTCTTCTGGAGACATTCCAGAGAAGGAAAATATGCATAATGAGGATAAATGAAACTTTGCTGATGAATGCAGCTAGAGATTAATTTGTCACTATTATCCTTTTTATTGTTCTTTAGAAATATATCATACAGGGAGGACTAATTTTGCCAGCTGACCAGAATAATTAGTTGTTCACCTTTAGCAGCAGTTTTGGATACAGAAAGTAAGTTTTGTGTGATTTTATGGAGATATGTATCGTCACTCACCAGTTTCAGCACATGTTGTTGTTCATAGCATTTGTCCTGCTTAGTTGCAGGGTCTCCTTGTTTTCATACTGTACTCACCTAGTTCTTACATTGAAGCTTATGAGGAGTTTTCAGCCAGGTGGCCACAGAGCCTGAAAAGGGTGTGGCATAACCAAGTTCACCCAGTTGGCTTTCATGCCTAAGTGGAGACTAAAACCAGGGTTTTGTCACTCCTTCTCCAGCTCCTTAAGCACCTCATCATGTTGGCTGTTCACCGGTTTCTGCACATGGAACTATTAAGGGCTTTGGCTGAGTATGTTAAGCTGCAATGGGCCCAGTAGCTTAAAATAATACCCAGAGGAGGTGGGCAATGTGGTCACCAAGAGAAATTCCGTGGAAGCTCCAGATGTATGTATGTATGTATGTATGTATGTATGTGGGCTGGCTCTCTGCTTCTTTAAAAATCATTCACTTCTCACATCCTCAGAGAAGTCTGGTACTTCAAGCTACATATTCTTTTAAGGATAAGTTTTGAATTCCAACTTAATTGTTAGGAGTGCTTGCTCATAGTTGGGGGTATTACTATGGACAAGGGTAGGCAACCAGTTAGCAGCGATGGCTATTTCCCTTGGAGGCCCTAAAATCTCTGCCACACTTGTTAATGATAGATAGATAGATAGATAGATAGATAGATAGATAGATAGATAGATAGATAGATCTGATACTTCAAATTGTTTTAATCAATACAATAAAAGTATCAAACAGGAAAAAATAAAAAGGAAAAAGAAAGAAAAAAGAAAAGTGAAAAGTGAAAAAAGAAAGAAAACATAGAATTATGACTTCTACCCTTCTTTCTGTTGAATAATTGCCATCTTATTCTTTCCCCTTCCTTTTTAAGCCTTTTAAATCCCCAAATCCATAAATCATCAGTTCAGTCTTTTCTTCTTTCAGCAAAGAAGGTCCATACAAGGATTCCAGTCCTTTAAAAAAGTCTCCATTGTTTTTTCCCTGACCAAACTGGTCAACTTTGCCATTTCTACAAGCTCCATCAATTTTATAATCCAATCTTCTACTGTGGGTATTTCATTATTCTTCCTACTTTGTGTGTACAATAATCTTGCCACAGTTACCATATACAATATTAGTTACCCATATTTACTTTCTAGTTCGGTGGATATTACTTTAATTAAGAAAATAATTACATTTAATACCACAAAGTACCACAAAAATAAGGATGATACCTCTGGCATCATCCTTATTTCAAAGAATATTTCTGTGCCTTGCATGGGCATTATTCATAATAAAAAGAGGGGGGAGGGTGTTCTAGTAAGTGCCTTGCTTGGTAGTACCCACTGCCCACAGAATAGGCAAAGGCAAGATGATCATAGTTGGAGGTATTTCAGGGAACTAGTAGAATAAACTACATTGTGTGTTGTATTGTGACTGGCCACTTATGCCAGCCATGTTATGAGCAAATGTCCTACCCATTCACCCCCATATTCTCAAATTTTCAAATGGACCTCCAGCACAAAAAGTTGCCTATGACTTAGCTAAGAATTAGAAATTTCACTTCATACCTTGGTTGCTCTTTTTAAAAAAAAATTAGTTTGGCTTATTTTAAGCCTACTGTATACACTCGGGCATAAGCCAACCCTTGAATTTTTAACCAAAACATTATGAAAAATGTGCCACCCATACCATACAATAATTAAGTGCAGATTTATGTTTATCAGCATTTTTCTCCACTTTGTCTACTAACTGATTGCTTTGTTTACAGTCTTGCATGAAGAAAAGTTCTGGAGATCTTGAAAGCTTGCATACTATTTAGTGAACTGGAGTTGTCATAAGAAAGGTATTGCTTTATTTTTAAATGTATTAATTCTTCTGTTCATGCTTAATTTTCATCTTTAAGTATATTCACCATCTCAGTCTTTGAGTTCTGCCAGTTTTGTGTATAAGGTTTTTCCTTGAAATTTCTTATATATTGACATTTTGATTATACAATATTCTGCTAATTGCTTCTTTTCCTTTGTATAAAAAGATCTTATACCTTACATCTTTCAGCAAGTTTGTGCCTAAATATTAGGGTTATTACAATTTTGGTACTCTTTTCTGCAGCTTTTACTCATGTTTGTGCTTAATTTAAATTTTGATGTAACCCTGTCCCTTTCCTATATGTTGTTTTATCATGACAGCAGCTCTGTCCAATCTTGTGCTGTCCTGACTTATTGGTCTGTAGCCCCCATCATCCTCAATCTGCATATCCATTGGCTAGGAATGATAGGGATTTCTTAGCTGAATTCCTTTCAAATGCAAGGCAAACATGTGTCCTTATGACATGAAAGAAGCATAATCACTGAAACAAACTTGAGCCAAACTGTGAGCCAGCAAGATGTGAGGAATTAAGGGACAATCATATTTAAATTCCTATTATAAAATTTGTTAGATCATTAGTCAGTAGCAATCTCCCCTATGATAACAGGGGTTGCTTGACTCTTACCACCATACTTCAAGATCATGGGATAAATAAGAAGAAATGGTAATGGTGTGAATAATTAATGTTGAGACAGCCAGTTTGGTGTAATAGTTAAGACATCAGGCTAGAAACCAAGAGACTGTGAGTTCTAGTCCCACCTTAGGCATGAAGCCAGCTAGGTGACCTTGGGCCAGTCACTCTCTCTCAGCCCTAGGAAACAGGCAAGGGCCAGCCACTTCTGAAAAACCTTGCCAAGAAAACTGCAGGAACTAGTCCAGGCAGTCACCAGGAGTCAAGACTGACTCAAAGATACCTTCCCCCGAAAAACTTTTGGTAATGCTGTTAACTATTAACAGACAATGAGTTGGCATTGTAAACTTTCAGTTAGAGTACAATCAACATGTCAAGCATAAATAGTAGTTAGGAAGCTGTACTAATCATTGTGAGGAATATATGATTGTTTTTCTGCATCTACTGAAATTAAGAGGAATTTTGCCAATAACAGCAAGATTAATAGCAGATATTTATTTCTGACAGTTTGACATAGAATAACATCTCTTTTCCATTTCTTAAGGAGATCTTGCCTTCTATAAGCTGAGTGCAATATTTATTGCCTTGGTTTAGAGCAGTTTTTCTCAAACTTGGCAACTTTAAGATGTGTGGACTTCAACTCCCAGAATTCTGTAGCCCGCATGCTGGTGGCTGGGGGGTTTTTGGGGGTGGAAGTCCACCCACTTTAAGATTCCCAGATTTTTGAAAAATGCTCTTAAACAAAAGAATAAAAA